GTGAATAATTATGACCGAATAGATTTGACGCACTTTTGCATCGCATTTAGCAATTAATTACGATCGACCGTTGGATCTGAATAATAGAGCCGACTCAGAGTAATTATCGTTAGCTGTCAATTTCTTTCGGGCATGTTTTTATCATTAGTATAGTTTATGTGGTATTGTAAACAATAAACATGGGAAAATTTGCGCATTTTTGATTACACACTGGAAAAATACAATAAATAAATCGAAAATGCATATTAAATGCACGTCAATATGTTGTTGACTGCACAGTGTACAGTGTACACCTCTGCTGCTGTTCTCTGTAATCAAAAGCATCACCGACACCAAGCGGCGACTACGACGAAGTCGACAAATCTCTTGCCAATCATAACTATTTTCCACATTTTTTTTTCGATTCCTCATTAATAATAATGATTATTATTATGAATCAGTTCGCAATATATTGTTGTTTTTCGCTTAGAAATCCTTTTTACTTTGAATTCATACTCATACCATTAAAATGCGGAATTCTTTCACATTTTCTACGCGATAATATTTCATGACTATTGTATTCAAATGCGTACATTTTTTTTCTTTTAGAAATCAATAAAGAAACAAACAGTTTTGCAAACGACTTTAAAAAAAAATGTGAGGCGATCATAACGATTAGCTACTATTTGAATATGATTGATTATCTACAAGTTCACGGTGATGATGAGATCGCTGGGTGGCGCGGGTGCGCGCAACTTTTGTTCGCATATTCAACTCTCATCAATTTTGATTTGATATGCATCGAAAAATGTATAAGCCGCTCGCGTTCAATGAACATACGCGAAATGAGCTAACGAATCTGTGCAACGACGACGACGACGACGACAACGACAGATCGTAAATTGTAATTGTTAAGGTGTTGAGCGCAAGTGAGAGCGTATGCACACATTGAATCGCCCTGGGTTTCGCATTGAGCAATAGGAGAAGAGATAGAGACACCCGATGCCGCCTTCAATGCCAAGTTCATGTTCATTTGTTGAATATAGATGCCGATAATATGCATAAAATTTTTCATCTTCACTTTTCAGTTGCGTCGCAATGCTCATTATTTCTATAACTCACTGAATACACATTTTTTTTCTCATATTCGTTCTGTTTGGTTTGTTTGTTTGTTTTTTTTTTCTCTTGTTTCTCGCTGAGAGCGCGTTTCGCATTTGAACCGCATTTTTTTCTGCCCCTTTTGTAATTTATTCATAAAAGCGATTTACTATTCGCGACTTATTTTGTTTCGTCGTTTGCTTTTTTTCCTTCTTATATATTGTTGTTTGAAGCATCTGTTAAAACTACTCAAAATAATACACCGTAGTAAGATGAGATATTGATTACATTGTTGTTAAGAAACATTCTGTTTCTACCGGCTTCACACGATCATTGTTTTTATCATTTTGATGAGGCGTTCTCGGTTCGCATTTCAGTCAACGACAAACAATGTTTTTTTCATCCACTTCTTCTTCTTCTTCTTCTTCTTGTCTTTTTGGGTAATTTTTTCCGCATTCAGCAGCATAAGGAAAAAAGACAGTGCCGCAACAATGCGAGCTTTGTCATCGTCGTGTGATCATCACAATTTATGCGAAATTTTAGCTCATTTTTTTACGCTTCTGCTTCTTTTGTCGTCATCTTCATCGGGCAAGGTATATAATAAACAACAAAATAGCAACCGAACACAATCAAATGCTGTTTGATAGCATGCATTCGAAAAGATCCGCAGAAAAATGAAAAAAAAAACAAAACGAAAGAGAAAAACACACAATATGAAAGGTTGACAAAATAGGAGTAGAAATGTTTTCCATTTTTGGTCTAATCAAATTGACAGATACTTCCTTGGTAAATGTGCTCGATAGCGCAAAAAAGAGCTCTTTTTGTTACACTTCTTTCTCATCACAAAGACTTCAATTGAAGACGAAACGCACACGTGCACCAGTCGCACTCGGTTCGATAGACGAGCGCTAGTTGATGGGAAATATGGCAAAAATGTGCAAATACAACCGACACTCGATTACTCTCTCTTGCGCGCACCAATTACAAGAGCATAAAGGTGCATATAAATCGCTATTCGACTAATTCGTTGTTGGATGAATTCATTTTCAGTCTCAATTCGCAAAAACATGCGCATTAATTTGTATCGCTTAGCCCAAAGCAACATATCGAACAATGCACATAAAAAACAATTAAATGGAGAGAGAAGGAAAACAAAATACTATACTATGATTCAATCAAAACAATAGAAAACCGTTGTTTATTTTATGCTCATTTTTTATGTAACTATTCTCTTGTGATTGTTATGCTGTTCTCGTTTTTCTAAACCGTTTGCAGCAGCAGCAGCAGCAGCAGCAGCTACTTCTCTCGCAGTTCGCCAACTGCAGTCATACCTTTTGTTACATGGAATTTTTGCCAGTTTGTGTTGATTATCTTTTGCATCGCGCGCGCTGCACTCTCTTTTGTGATTTGGTTTGTTTTGCTTTTCTCCGTGCATTGTTCCATGCGATTTGCGGTTTTTGGCGGGCAATTCTCTTTTTCTTTCCTGTACTTGCATCGTGCTGTGCGCGCTACCTCTCATCGAACCTTTCAACATATGATCAGTTATTCCAGTTCCAGACACCAATCGCATTGCACTTGATTTTTGCACACATTGTGCTAATATTTTCGTTATTTAAAAAAAAAGTTCGTGGCGTGATTCGGGTCTTTTTTTCGTTTCTCTTTTCATCTTCTTCTGTTTATTTAACCGATCGATGAAAGAAAGAAAAATAGTTCTATTCACGCTATCATTCAATTAGCATCTCGCCTTCACGACAGTGTTATTGGATCGAAATTCTCACCAATTCAAGATCAATTAAAATCCATTTTGTGCTACGTCCAGCTGCTAATTCCAATTTGCATCTCGAATTGTTTGCACACGTTTCGGTTCTTTTGTTTGCCCATTCTTGTTGGTTCGTGTGTGAGGCGTTTGTTTTTGTCTCGTCTTTTTTTTCGCTTGCTGGTGGAAAATGTTCTTAAACATTGATAACATTTTTACCCTGGATTACAGAGAAGGTACGGTGTTATGTTTAAAATGAGTTTTTTTTGTTCAATTTAAATCAGATAATTTTATTGATATAATTTGAAGTGTGAACGGAATTTTAATCTGATCAATTTGGTCGCGTCTTAAAAGCCATTTTCGTAGCTCAGCAACAAATTCCATTCGAATAATTTTTCGTTCCAGCACTTTGCTTGAGCAGATGGTCAATCAGGACGTTTTGCTGTTATTGCAGCCAGACTGAAAACATAATGATCGGTCTGAACTAGTTCTCTAGATTTGTGTGACCAAAAAAAAAACATGCAAAAGTTCGCAATAACCACAAAAAAACAAAACAAAAACAAACCAAAAAATATCCACTCAAAGCCACTTTCAGAGAAATCATAAAGCGCGACGGAGAAAAAAATTTCGTCTGGTGGTGGTTGTCATTGTCGTCGACGTCGCAAAATGTGTCGATTTGAAATTCATCTTGTGTGTCAGTCAACGTGAGCCAAGTGCGCCTCAATCAAGTAGCCAAAGTGTGTGTGCGTGAGAGAGAGAGAGAGAGCAGTGCAGCAAAGTGTAACTGAAAGGATATAGAATTAGTGGCAGTCCAAGTGGCACTTGATTGTTTAAAGCAATAAACAAATAAATAAATATTGGCAAATGCTCAAAATCATTCAATCGTTGCTCGTTCGCTCTCTCCCTCAAACAGTTGGTACTGCGGCGGTTTCTTTGAGTGTATACTTTGGTCGCCGCTTTAGCTGTCTGTATTAGTCGATTTCGTGTGTTTCATGGGCTTTTTTTTAAACATTTTCGCTAGAATTAAAATAGAAACTCTACGTAATTGACCAACAGCACACAAAATTGGCGGCTCGAAAAGCGAGTATATGCCGCCGTTCGCCAGACGCGAGCAACGTACACACTTTACGAATTCATGGCGTGAATGATGAAATACTTGCAATGAAAAACTGCACCGCATATTCACGCTCCACAAACCGAAGCGTAATGAGGAAATTGAGGAAACAGTAAACAAGTGGCTGCGGTTTCGTCTAGGGAAATTCGTCTGAAATCCACTGACCGATTTGTTTTTTTTTTTTTGAACTTCAATTTTGGAATAGCTCATTTCGATTTGAACGAAATGACAATTTATCACCGAAAATCGAGAGATTTTGATACATTCAATGAATTTGTACGGTTAGCAGCATTGTTGCTAGTGACAAAGCGATTGCTACCAAACACAAACTGATAATGTCAACATAAATTAAACGTGTAAACACGGCAAATGCTCTTTTTTCTCTTCGTTCAATTGAGACGACTTCTATATTCGTGCTAAGCACTCTGCTACTACATGTGTGTAACACATGTAATTACACTTCACATCTTTATCGGCGGGCTAACGGGCGTACACACGTCAATCGCTACTTATTCTCTCACGCAATAAAAAAAAAATTGCCTTTTGTTTGTGAATTATTAGTATTGATGCTTCTTGTGAGCGCAAGCCGAGCGCAAGCACTTGAAATTCTATTTGCTCTAAATAATACTACAATTTTTGCTACTACAAGTAGCTCGGCTATCTAATAGAGAAGCTAGCTGTGGGCCATACCGATTGTGTGTATGTGGGCTTCTGTATTTCTTTTTTTTTTATTCTCGCAATTAATCCCAATAGCTTTTATCTCTCACTGTGTATCTTGAAAATGGGAGCAATCGCGTAATTATACCGTAATAATCTTGCGTATGAATATCAGTGTCTTTTTCGGTTGTTGTTGTCGTTGCTCTTTACATTGTTTGCAATTGGAGACTTCGAGTATATATAGACTATGTGAGGAGAGCTCAAGAGCTGAGAATATCAAATATTTGGCATTGTTTTGACTTTGTTTTGATAATAACTATTGCATAAAATGACGGTCAAGTGCTTGAAATTGTTTGATTATGGATGTGTGTATTTTCTTTTTCGTTTACTTTGCAGGCGTTAATCGTATCATTGGTGTGAGTGATATCACAAACAACCGGAAAATATGGAAGATTCTATTGGCCGAGTTTTTGGGTACATTCTTCTTGGTGGCCATTGGTATAGCCAGTACAACTGGAGCATGGAGTGATGAATATAAACCGAGCATGGTTCAAATCGCCTTCACATTTGGTCTGGTCGTTGCAACGCTCGCACAGGTAAATGAAATTGAAACCAAACAAAGAAAGAAAAAAAAAAACGAAAAAAAAACACACGATGAAAATCGATTCAATTTGTCTTTCATTATCCCACACAAACAATCAGCACACAATATTTGAGGCTGCCGTGTGTGAGCGCTGATTCATTTAACTAATCAAAATTACGGTAATAAAAGTATGATTTCACGAGAAACAAGAATCGGCGGCCCATTAAATGCTGTTAAATAATAACAGCAACGGCAACCGATCATCAAATCGATCAAGTCAACTATAATAAAACGACGAACCACGTAAACGACCATTAAATGGTTGTTGGTAGTTCAATTTATGATGCGCGCACACAATGATCGACGGTGTTTGCGTGTGTGTGTGTGTGTTTTCATTAAATGCTAGAACGAACACTCAACTTCCCTTAGACGATTGATAGTGACGTGAACAGAAGAATTATAAATTGAAATAAAGAAACAATTCATCAACCTAGAAACGAAGAGGTAATGATAATGAAATAAAAGCAAGAAAGAAAAACAACCCAACAACAATCGAACCAATACGGCGAGCAGAAAAAGAAATGTGTGCACCCATTTACACCGCCACATTTACGATATGGTGTGTGATCGTATCGTCAGCAGCACCTTGCACTCGGTTTGCATTGGAAATAAACCGAAACCGAAACAGAAACAAAAGAAAAAATGTGCATGTGCCAATAATTTGTATTATATTTATATCGCACCCAATCGCCGAAAGGCGCGCGCACGCTCACATTTTTCAACAGCGATTTTTTGTGTTTAATCGGAGATTTATCTTTTATTTACAATTGAAATAACGGCAGCAGCGGTGTGTGCGCACGCCGCGTTCGCTAGCACACACATGGCACGGCCAACCATAATCGCAACTTTATGACCACTTTTCGGAACTGTGGCCATTGCTGCTCTAATTACTCATTTAACTGGTTGCTCTTTTTCAATTTAGCATTTTCGTTGAACTCTCTCGGCGCGGTTTTTATCGGCGGTGTTTATTTTGTTTCTCCTTCGTTTTAAATCTTAATCCATGCTAAAGAAATCAATAACACTTGTTCGAATGTGTGTGGCTTTGACTTTTCTCACTATCTGCATCTCTATCTCGCTGTATCTCTTTGGCTTTGTTGCGTGGATTTTGGTTTCGCTCTTGGCGATGACAGTGGTGGCCTGTGTGTGAATCGAATGTACATAATGAAGTACTTGAAATGGAATGTACGTGCGATAATCATATGCCACCGCATATATATGGTGTGGCTGTGTGCATGAGTATGACGCGCGTATGTGTACACGGATGATCTTGCCTGAGCATGAAACCAACAAGGCGAAATGCATTTTTCTTTTCGTCTCAATATCGCGTTTTTTTTCTGGTTATTTTTTCCTCTTATTTGTACTGTAGTAAGCACAACGTGTGCACCCTTTCATCTATCCCGGTATTCACACACACACACTCACACACATACAGCGATAAGGATCAATTCAAATAAAATGCCCAAATATTTATCAATAATTATGTGGATAAATTTAAAATGACTTTGTTTTGCATAAAATAAAAGCGCGCGCAATCGCAACCGCAACAAACACCATCAATTACGTGTGCAACGAAAACGAACTCGTTAATAACGAACATGCACTATGCATGGTAAACAAGAAAATAATTAACAGCCATTTTCACGGGTGACTGAAAATATATGAGCTGTGATTTTCATCAGAAGTTTTCGGATTTTTTTTATTTTGCATTGACGTTTTTTTAGCACTACATGAAATGTAGAGCTACTAATCTGCTTTTTTTTTCTTAATACTTTTTGAGTGATGAAACAAATTATGGTGAATTTGAATTTTATGCTCATATTATTTATTTAATTTAAAACAGGTGCACTAACGACAAATAAGTGCATAATATCTCAAAGCGCCAATCAAATTTTTATTATCAAATGTTGTTTAAAAATTACATTAATTTTTCGTATAATATTTTCTGAGTCTTGAACAGAATTAAAGTGATTTTAGATTCTATGCTCATATTATTTATTTAATTTAAACCAAAGGCAGTATATTTTAAAAAAGAAATTAAACCAAGATCTTGTGATTCATTTTGAAAATAAATGTATTACTTCAAAGTTACTTTGATGAAATACATTTCATGTAGTGCGCCAAAAAATAGTTTGTTGTGAAACAACAAAATAGATTAAATAACTAAAAACTCAAGAAGGCAGAGCAGAGCGAAGCGAAGCTCTGCGGTCTTGTTTTCTTCTCTGGTTAAAAGTGAATCTCGACTATTTTCCCTATGCGCATTGGCGCAATATGGATGTCAGTTGATCACTTGAGTTGTCGGTCAATTCAAACACCAGTTTTTTCATCAACGAAATGATTCATAATAATGATTTTTAAAAGTCATCCTGGATTCATTTACAATGAAACCTTCGACGTATGCGCACACCGGCCAATTCGACGTCTTGACCTGCATATATTCGGGTGTTGTTTTCTTAAAATCAGTTTTATGGCGTTTGCATGGAATCAAAAAAAAAATAGCATTTCATCTTGATCATGACTATATGACCACTCAACAATTTGTTGAGGATTTGGTGTGTGTGCCTGTGCATGTACCAGCGCTACCAACAAGAAAGACATCGAAAAAGGCCACAAGCGTATGCATTCCACGAAAAGACTAACCAATTGAAGTGTATTGCTCTTCATTGAGACAGCGCGCTCACAAGTGGCAATCACCAATTATTCAATTACAAAACAATATAACAAAAAGCAAATCAAAATAAAATCACAGCTCAATGGGGTTGAGTTCCCCTTCACCAACGGCTGCTGCTGCCTCCGTCGACACCGCTGCCACCATTATGTGTGTCTTTTGTGCGAATGGCTCAGTGGAACTGATCAAACTAGAATCTAATGTTCACACAATGAGACGCGATCGAGAGAGATAGAGAGAGAGAGAGAGAGAAGTATAGACACATGATGCAAAAGTTAATTACATGTTGTTAATCAATAGAAATTGGAATGAAAGAAAAATAAAATTGAAAGTAAAATTCCAAGAATGAGTGTGTTTGGATGTTGGGCCTATTTTTTTTCTGTACCTTTTTATCAGCTTATAAATAGACTGTTTTGTTGGTAATGATTCATATGTTTGTTTGCGATCGAAATTTAATTTTTTTTACTTCTGATTTCAAAATTACCAGCCCGACAATAATGGATCTGTCTCTCTCTCTCTCTCTCTCTGTCGACGAATGCCTGCAATACAAAAGGTGTGGTCTTGAAGCGAACACTTGTGTGTGTTTGTGTTCGTTCAAGTCGTTTTTTCTTTGTGTGTTGCACCGTTTTCAGTGTGCGTTGTTTTTTTTTACGCAATTTACTTGAAAAATGCAAATGCCTTGGTAAAAGATCAACGGCATGCGTTCAATGCATAAATCTTTCAGATTATCATTATTCTAGATGGCTGAAGAGAAGTAATACAGCGAAAAAAAGCGCGCACACACATAACGAAACTGCCCAATTACATGTTAATATATAGCAAATACGGTATGCAGTGCATACACGGTTGCACAGAAAGTTTAAGGTTTCTTGCATGAGATAATATCAATGAAATTTTTCAACTTTAACATTTTTTTGGTTAAATGTTAGTCCTCGCGCATGAATCCAATATGTTTTTTTGCAGCCGAAAGACCTATGGTGTTTCATTGTTTTTGTTTTTGTATTTTGATTGTGGAAGAGCCCATTGTTCCGTTGTTCAATTCTAATCACAATAAAAGCATGAGGCGGCTTCATTGTTTCCAGCCTAATTGTCTAATTACAGTGTCTGATTCAAATCAGACGAATTCAATCTCGCAAATGAAGAGAATGTTCAAGCTGTGCGCTTGATTTCGAGCCCGACAACATTTTGTCATGCTTATCCATGTACCATGATCAAAACCGTCTGAAATGGTTAGGCTTTTTTTCACGTCTGTTCATATGAAAATGACTCAACAGAAAATGACTAGGAAAATAAACAACGCTTTTCTCGATCATTCTTTTCGGTCCGACCCGAAACGAAGAGAACGAAGAGAACGAAAACCAAGATTAGTAAAATTCAAATTTATTCCAGTGTACACAGTCACAAGGTCAAAGATTCACAAATAAAATATCGCTATCAAAACGCTTAGCACGCAATATACCCGAAATGGGGATTCATTCGTTTGCTCACACGCTCGCTCACCCGTTTGCAAATGCAAATCCTTGCCTCATTTACAAATCTAATTATAGAAAATTGTTGTTCCTTCCGAAACATTACCGCTTTACATTTGTTTGGCTGGCGATGTGCTGTCTTTGTCTTCGTCTTCATTGTCGCCGTCGCCGTCGTTGTTGTTTCGGGTTGAATTAATTCGAAAGCACTTTGGTTTGGATTGTTCATTTTAACTAACCAAAGATATTGGAGGTGCTAGAGAGCCATACACCGAATGAAACACGAACAGTAATTATAAATAACCGTTTTGCATGCCATTGGCCCTAAGTATTTCTTCTCTTCTTTTTTTCGTTCGGGCTAATCAAATCACATTTTGTTGACACACCTTGACTAAAAGCCCCATTTGGCAGAAAACTTGGTATTACATGCTTTTCGTTCGTTCGATATGTTTACAAATCACGCTGAAATGAAGGGAGAGAGAAAAAAAAACCGTAACAGACCTATACAAACAATCAGGAACAATCGATATATCCATAAGACAAGGTCACTAACAGAAAAATGATCTAAAACCAACGGATAGAGGAAGAAACAAGACCGCAGAGCTTCGCTTCGCTCCGCTCTGCGTTCTTGAGATTTAATTTATCAATTCTATTTTGTTGTTGCCACAACAAACTTGTTTTTCGCGCACTACATGAAATGTATCTAATCTAAGTTGTCTTGAATTTTTATTGTGATTGAAATAGAATTCAATTTTATTTTCAAACTTGTCAAAATCGCACGTAAAATCTCAAATGGACAATCTTTATTGTGAATTTTCTGACGAGGAAACAATTCCTGAGGTTATTATTCGAAACTCATTGAAAGAATTAGTTATAAGTTATGCGAGAAACAAATAAAATGTATGATAAAATATAGTTTGGAAAAAATAAAAAAAACTGTATGTCAATCTTTCTATTTATATATGAAATGTTATATATTAAATCTTCATTAGTGCACCTGTTTTAAATCAAATAAAAAATATGAGCATATAATTCAAATTCACCAACATTTGTTTGAGTAGTCAAAAAGTATTAATAAAAAAAAGAAGCAGATTAGTAGCTCTACATTTCATGTAGTGCTAAAAAAAACAAAATTGTTACAAGAAAAACGGTTGATCGTGTTTTTGACACGTAATTGAAAACAAAGCTGAAATAGCTCATAATCAAATTTCCACGTAACCAGCATTAAGATAGTGCTGTAAATAAATTTGACGGAACTTCCAACACGTTCTAATAATATCCAGATAATCGGCCCATTGATCGAACCAAACAAATTATAATCTAGCGATGAATGCGCAAATAATTGATTCCGAATGGAACAGAACAAAAACGAAAATGGCAACAATTTTCAACAATCCAACAAAATGTATCAGCGATAAGTGGCTTTTAAAAGAATTCGTGTGTTCAATTTTCGTTGAAAGGAAGAAAGAAAGCGATCAATATTAATGTTACTCACGTGTGCAAATAAAAGATATTGCTAAATGATTCAACCGCACCGTGCAAATGAATTTATTTTTGGCGTGCAATTTGTACGAACACACATTTATCGATGACACAACGACAACAGCAGCAACAGTTTGACGGCTAAAGTGGCAAAAATGTTCTCCGTAGACATTTTTTTTTGTTCATAATAATCAATCGTTATTTTCCATAATTTACACGTGCTCCTAAATGTATCGTTAATTCATGGTAATTGATTCGCATCGAAACAGACGCAAACAGTTCAAAACCTTTTAAATTGCAATTACGGTGAATAGCGCATATTCGGATAGAACGGAAATTGATTTTGTATTATGGAAATGCTCTCATTGAAGTTCTCTAACTCAACACTCTTGAACACGGTGAACAAACCGAACAACGATTTCATTCGATAATCGCATTTTTTTGCGGTTTGATTTGCGGTTGCAATTCACAGCCGTGAGAGTAAACGAGAGAAAGATAAAGAGATGAATGGAAAGAGAAAAGGAGAGACGAAACGTGCATAAAACACGACGGGCGCGTGAGAGCTAGTGTGTTCAATGCAAGTCATTCACATCGATTTGAATTTTCTCAATCATATCAATGTCAGTGGACCGAACAAAACATTACACACCGCGTCTATTCACCTGATTCGGTTTGTTTTTTGTTTTCATTTTCATTTTTTTCTTCTCGTATGCAATGCATTTATATATGATGGATTGCACTCGTTGCCACCACAAAACGAGTGCTTTGAAAATATTAAATACTTCTTCGACTGAAGGGAAAAAAAGCAACTGCCATGATATTTTCGACCGATAATTGATTGATCGCAATGACGATCTCGAACGATTTGGGAACTATTATACGTGGCAAAAATGGCTATGGAAACAAAATCGATCGGATGACATTGCCGGAAAAAAAAAACCATTTTTTCCCTCCATACTAAATCAGATCGAATATGAAATTGAAACAAGTTGTTTTTAGCCAAAAATGCATGCAAACTATGTGCACCCGAAAAATTGCGAGACTATTTGACAAATTTTCTTCATGCAAACGTGCGCGCTGTGTGTGCTACAGTTTGCGAGTGAACATAAAAGGTTGTGTGCGCCGTACACACTTCACACACAGCTACGGAGCTACTGCGAACACACTGTTATTGCACTTAATCATAAACAATGTACCATTTTTCGGTGCGTATGTATCGATGTGAACGCATACGAAAAACACAACGATTGTGGCGCAAATATTTTTCTATGTTCTCGCTACCACTTTTTTCCTCTCTCTCTCTACACTTCTATTCTTATTTTACAAAGAAATATAAAATGAAGGCATCTATCAAGTGTAGCAGCTGCAGCGGTTGCAGCGGCAAGAGAAGAAGCAAAAAAAAACACCAGTACACGACTCGCACTGGGGAAAATGAGTGTGTGCATTGAAAAGTTATTAAAAGAGTTGCTTGAGCTTTTGATCTGAATTAAGTGGAAACTTGTTGGATTTTGCGAGAGAGCCAAGACAACGCCAGGTAAAAAAAATGGTAAAAATAACACAGCATACGTAAAAAAGCTGCGTCGATGCAAAGATCGATTTGAATTGTACATTAAAGGTAATGCATGCCAAAGTTTCAGTTTGAAAACTAAAAATGGTTCTTTGCACTCACACACCGTGCGTCGAAATCCATTTGACATGATATGAGTTCGATCGTGTAACGGCTATTAGATTTGAATGAAACAAAGTTGCATGTTGTACAGGTTGAGTGTGACATGTCACATCGAGTACAAATGATGCGATTTGAATTCAAACGGTCACATTTGAGGGGCTTGGTGTGAAACGGGCATAACAAAGGGGACCAACAACTTTCATTTTTCACTCTTCCATTTGATGATGACAAGGAGTGCCTGCATTTGAAACCCAAGTGACATCAAAATTAATGGACGTGTAAATAAAACTCATGTGTGGATAAATTACATGGTCTGCGAGGAAATGTAACATAAATAATGAATTTAAAAGTGATTCGTTTTTATGAAAAGAATGGAACAATATCAGAAAAGGCAACATAAAAAAGAACTGTATTTGAAAAAAAGAACGGCAACGAGAGAAACCGAAATGCAAATTCAATTACTTATTATATTCTAGCTATGGAATTTAGAACTAACATGGAACACACGCATCTAGTGTTAATGTACACATAATGAGAATAGAATAGAGGGAGAGAGAGGGAGAAAAGAAACACGCGAAAAGAAGTTGTTGCGCTCAGCATCAGGTGTGCATTGAACTTCACAATCGAACTTTATGTACAACTATTACATTAGACACATTTAACGAAGTGACAGCGAAAAAAAACCGCAGAGAAAAAATGTTTTGCAGACAAATCGAGTAATGTAAATGCTCAATTACATATTAACAAACGTTCCAAAGCCATTTGTTATTGTTGCTGTGGTTGGCTTTTGCGTTTGCTATGGTTTGTCTTCGAAAAGAGTGCGGTTTTCTCTCTCTCTCTCTCATGCAGTGCAGTAGTGATTGGCTAGCGCAATTTTCAGCGTGTATACCATACGTACGGTCAAAGACTTGTTTCGTTATTCACCAATTACGCGCTCGCTTAAAGAGAAAAAAAACATATCCAACATGAAACATATTCTGCACTAAATCTAGATCGAGAGTGAGTTTTTCGTTCGTTCGTTCGTTTGATCATTTATTTTTATAAGTGTAAGGTCAGTAGTTTTTTTTTGTTTCTCTCTCTCTCTCTCTCTCTCTCTCTCTCTCTCTCTCTCTCTCTCTTCCATTCTGAACTTTTTTTTGCGTCGATTCGTACTATTATAACGGCCTGATGACATTTTTTCTACATCAAATATCGATTTATGTTTTTTTTTTTGCTTCTAAAGATTTTTGTATGATTTTTCCTAATGCGTTTTTTCTTTACAATTTTATTGTAGGCTTTCGGACATGTTAGCGGCTGCCATATTAACCCAGCCGTTACAATTGGTTTGTTGATCAGTGGCAACTGTAGCATTCTAAAGGCGATCGTGTACATCATTGCACAATGTTTGGGCGCTTTTTGCGGTGCTGCTGTTATCAAAGTAGGTCAAAAAAAAATTCTGCTAAAAATTACGGAATTTCACGAGAAAAGACGTTTGAGTTTTCCATAGGGTTTTGAACAATCAAAAATTAAATTTAAAATCTAACAAAGATCGTGATTACGCCTAAACAAAATTTCAACATCAAATTTCGCTTTTCCAAACCAAAATGCAATCGTTTAGTTCGCAACACCTGACTTAATTTTGAAAGGAAATTTGGGTTTAACTGGACTAGGAGCTCACATGGAACCAATTCAAGGTGTAATCATCGAAGGATTGATTACATTCATTTTGGTCTTTGTTGTGCATGGTGTATGTGATGAACGCCGTAATGACATCAAAGGATCCGCACCATTGGCAATCGGTCTTTCAATCACTGCTGGCCACTTAGCTGCCGTATGTGTTCAATTCATCGATATTTGACATATCGTTGAAGACATTCTATAGCAAAATCTTTCTTTGTGTGTTTCTCTTCTAGATTCAATATACTGGTGCTTCAATGAACCCAGCAAGATCGTTCGGACCCGCGCTCGTTATGAATTATTGGACAAATCAATGGGTATGTGTTCAAGCATCAATTAATCCACTCGATTCGGAAAATAATAAATCATGGCCAGATTTAACATGCATTTTATTGATTCACAATTACAATATTCTCCACTTTAGATCTACTGGGTCGGACCAATTGCTGGTGGTATTCTATCTGGAGCTATCTATCGTGTTTTGTTCCAAGTGCGAAAAGGTGATGATGCAGACGTAATTTTATAATTAACAAATTACTCATTGTTCGTTTTATTTGTTTGACAGGTGATGGTGATGCGAGCTCTTACGATTTCTAAGCACGCTTTTGCTTCATTTTTTATAATATATCTATATATAAATATTAATTACAACAACAAAAAACACCAAGAACAAGAACAAGAACAAAAAAAAATCAAAATCCCCTTAATCCTTTGTTCACTTGTAAATAAATTATTACTCGATGATTTATTGTTTTTCTTTCGATTTACTTTAGCAATTTAGTTTTCAATTACTATTATTTGGTTGATGTGTGTATATGTGTTTTCACAAATAGCATGAACGCGATATAAACCACAGCAACAACAAACAAAAATCATCCATGTATACGCATTCAAACAACAAAATCTTTTGTTTACAATTTTTTTTCTTTTTTTTTCTCTTTAATTTCATTTTGATCTGTGCATGGTTTATATTTATTTACATTAAGATGAAATTTTGAATCATATGTTTCTATTTTTTTTTTTCGAATTTTGCTTTTTTCTTGCATGCGAATCGTGTATTTTGATTATGGATTGATCAACCAATTCAATTGAACGTTCTTCTCGTTTTATCTATTGTTATCTTTCTTCTCGAATATTCTAGGACCCGACACAGAAGCATAGATCTGATCCAATACGTTCAATCGAATCCACCATTTGAACAAAATACAATTAGTTTATCTCCCGTGAAAATGAGAAAAAAAAAACACGAAATTTCGTTCTTCTCTCAATTTTCGATGGAACAATCAATAAAATCTTCAGGAACGAACAAAAAACATGCAAAAAAAATAAATGTCGCTTTACTATTGTCGTCTTTCTTTCGCTTTAGAAAAAATGTCGCCTTTTAACAGAAAAAAAAGGAATATGTATTTTTCTTCTATATACCAATTCATCAATGTTTTTATTATCGACATAGTTGTTTAGGTGTATATTAATTCATAGATGTTACAAATTTACGAGAAAAAAAAAACAAAAACAAAATAACCACAATTCAAATGAATACCTTCAAATTTTATTGTAATACAAATTTAATTCAATAAATGTACAACTAATATTTAATGAATAAAATGAAAATTGATGTGTTTTCTATGTCATCAAAATGATGTGTGTGTTTTTTTTTCAAGTTGATACTGCGGAGGAGACAAAGAAATCTTCAGCCTCTCTGATCGTCTGTAAAAACAGATAGGAAAAGTCAAACAAGAAAAATTAAGCGGCATCTGGAGACTGGTTGGAGAAATAGAGGATTATGCACATAGTTTGCTGTAACAAGTACGCGTCTGTTTTAGTTCGAACGTTGAAAGTATGACACATTGCACTTAGTCCCTAGGCGGCGCTGTATTGTTTACTATTTTCATGATCAGAAAAACTGGAAATTTTGACAAAGAGAATATCTTGAGCATACACTTCGTATAAGAACCAAATTTTCTTGTGGCGCCACCTAGATGGCTAAGTTTTTTCAGCTTAGTACAGAACCATTTTTGGCAAAGATACAAAAGCATGCTCGAGGTATGAGTAAATGAATCTGTTGCTCGTGAACTTTTGCACTCACCCCCTGACTGTTGTGTTTTGGCAGATGTTTACGTGACATTGAATATTATGTACGCAACTTAGCGTGAAACTAAATCAATGAACAGTTTCTTTACATAATTCGAAATATAGATGTTAGCATCCTGAATGTATTGACACATTCGGCAATTGCTATTGGAATTAAACAGCACATCGAATTTATATGTGTGTGATTTTCTTCGGTAGTAAGTATGAGTTTTTTCTCAACAAGAAAAAATAATGTTGTTGTACTCGGCAATCATTCTCAAAATAAATTTCGTCTCGATATATGTAAAAAGCAGATTTTATTTTTTTATTCTGAACAGCAACACAATTTCAAATATTCAATTTTTTCCAACTTTGATTAGTTTTGACCATTCAAATTCAAAGCATTATTTTCATAGAGTCAGAGAGAGAGAGCCAACTTCACTTCATATAAGCGGCATGCCTCAAGTGTCATGAGACGTTGACATTGTTGCAAAATCAAAAATTCAGCTGTTTACTGTGATGAGAACCGACGAATAAAATCGCAGCGAAGGTGGAAAATTCGATGTCCCAACATGGATACCGTGCCAGTGCCGACGTCGGATTACATCAATGTTAAAAACAAATCCAATTTATCATTCAAAGAAATGTGGAATCGTGAGGATTTGTCCGATATCAAATTGTGTTGTGATCAAAATGTGTTTCGTGTGCATCGTTTCTTGTTGGCAGCGTGTAGTCCATACTTTCGATCCTTATTTGAAAAGCGGCCGGATTCCAACTTAAACATAATCCTCCAGGATGTAAACAGTGATGATTTGCGGCGTGTACTACACTATATGTATCACGGTTCGGTGATGATAAGGAACGAAGACATTCAGGCATTTTGTGAGCTGTTGGAAATGTTCTTGATGTCCGTGCCCGAAGATGTTGTCGTTTCGGCCAGTGAAAGCGAGAACGAAACCGAGTCTGAATCGGAATGTGATTCCGAATATGGAAGCGAAAGTGAGATTGAACTGTTGGTTTAAAAAAAAAAAACGAGAAATTCCGAGCAAAACAAAGTTTTCAAACATTTTTCTTTCTTCAGGTGGTGATGGGCACGATGCATTTGTTCAAAGTGTTCGTGATTTGATGGTCAATTTGAATGAAGAAAACGTACAAAATCATTCATCCTCCATATTGAGCTTAACCGAAATGGAAGAGCATCGCTTAGATGTTGTTATCGATTTGATATTGGAATCGGTGCTTCAACCGAAGCCAACAAATGCCGCAAATCTGTTTGTTTCGTTGGTGAAACATATTTGCATTCAAGCGGGCACATGTCACTTTCGAGACGATACACTTTATTTTCGTGAAAATTTACGACTGAAAGCATTGCGTTTATTTGCAAGTGGAGAGAGGAATTTTCCAACGCAACCAGAACCGCCGATTATTCAACCGAATGAGTTTGCCAGCCTAAATTCACTAGATAAACAAATCTACCTCATGCAATCGATTGATTCGCATTGTATGCCGGTACGATATCAACGTCTTGCCCATTTTATCGGTCATTTGTTTCAAATTAATTTAATTGGTGCAATCGATATCAACGGTTTGATCGAAGCTAGTTCCCAACACAAAAATGATCTCTTTGGTAAAAATCACGCACAAAAAAATTGCTGTAATTTTCAACTGCCTCAAGTTGTTGACGATATTTGTAACAATGACTGGTACCAATACGTCAGTCCTGTGGAAAATCACATGTTTTGGATTCGAAGCCAGGTAATCAAAGCATCACCGTTTATGTTTAATGGTTATCTCTGCAGTTTTTCTTTCAAAACTTGAATAACTAACAAAAAAAAAACAATATTCTTTAGGTTGTTCTCGGATCGACAGAACCTCATAAATTTGGTCACATTACCAGAGATTTGGTGATACAAAATGAATCACGGCGTCAACGAAACCAGAATCGTAAGGCTCGTAAGGAACGGATCACTCGGACTGCCAAAAATGCTAGCAAAGCTGTCAAAAAGAAAACAAAATCATCTCAGGAACAGTCACACAATTAACCAATCCATCGAATAATCAAACGTCCCACAAGAAGAAAAAAGAATTCACATATCAGGGAAATTCCCAACAATCATTCTTATTGGAATCTAAAAACCAACTTCATATGAATCAATAAAATGTCAGTATTTATTCAACAATATGCTTCTCTTTTGTTGTGTTAAGCCATTGTAAATTCTTCCATGTTTAGTATTCCATCAGCACTCATCATGGAGGTTTGTAGCGTAAACTCGGAGGCTGACAAATGCGTCGAACAGTTGGTTACATTCAAAGCATATGAAACAACTCTGTATACATCGTTTTCTGACATGTTTCGACGCATGGAGCTATGTGATGCTGTGTTGATCTGTGAGAATAGAGAAATATTCGTACATCGAATTTTACTATCGGTATAATTTATTTAATAATGTATTTCAGTTGCATATGTTAATGATAATTTTGTTATCGTCCGCATACTTTATCATACAAAAAGGTATCGAGTCCAGTTTTCAACAGAATGTTCAAAGGAAACAAGAGAATACCTTTTGTTCGAAAAGCCCATCGTTTTATCAAAGAAGTGCCATACGTTGATCTAATGAATATTATTCAATTTATTTATGAAGGCCGAGTCATATTACATCCATGCAAAGTGAATGGTTTTTTAGATGCCGCAAAGCATTTCAAGATTAAAATCACTGATGATAACTTTGAAATTTATAAACCACCAGGTGAGATTGAAATTACAGTATTTGAAATTATCGCAAATTTATTATTTTTCTATTTAAAAAAAAAACTTAGATCCCGTTCCGCCCGATTCTGTTAGTGATTCTGATCCACAATCTAATCCAGATGCTGATTCAAATTCTGATCTTGGTCATCTGTCTGATTCAGACTCTCAGTCTGTTTCCCATGATACGAACGAGTTTGAAACTGATCCAAATACGACTGAGGTCAAAACAGAAAATGAAATCAAAAGTGAAATGGAAATTGACATAGAGACTGGCATTATCAAGGAAAATAATATCAAAATAGAAAGCGATCTCAAAATCGTAAACGATATTAATACCGAAAATGATGTCAAAACAGACCGAAATGCCAGAGACCCACTAGATAAATTCTGTGCTGAAGACGGGAAAAATAAACTAACTCGGGGAGTGGTAGAAGTGAGCCGCGACGAATTTTTTGAAGTAATTCAATTGCATACATTTAAATTGGAACATGTAGAGAAATTGATAGGTTTCCATTTTTATTTACAGCGAATGTTCAAGGCACGAAATCTACCGTGGCCAATGGACGTAAGCGAATGGACAATGGATTGTGGCCAAATGATTTCATTAACACAATATTTGCAATGTAAACCACTAAACCTCTCAGAATTGGCCGGGAGTCTGAATTTAAAAAATAAAATTAAGGATGCTTTAGATACGACAGAGTAGATTGAGACTGATTTTTGAACCATTACAATGAAACCCAATCATTTTTTCAGTAAATAAAATAATTCTACAATTTTCCATGGCTTTAATTTATGAATACTTTGTGTTGGGCTATTGAATTTAAGCTTCATTGAATGAATTTCATTGTCATAGTAACGGAGCACCCACCTACGTGGGATGCAAGACTTGAAAAGATTTACGTTGTACTAAGATACATTCGATTTGATTCGATTGATAGGGATTTAGTTTGATGGTAACTCATTTCAACCTATCATTTTGACAGATCCAAGAACATTCGTGAATTTCCGAATAGATTTAGCGTATTTGCCGGGCTGGTGCAAACCCACAAGATAACACTGAAAAGGTGTTTGTTTCTCCAATTCATATGATTCGGATTTGAACAATTCTTTTTCAATTGAAATTTGCAATAAAAACAATTCAAAGCGAGAAAAAGAAAATCAAACTCTTTGAAATTCCCACAATAAATGCGACTCGATTGCGAGCTAACTTCACGCTAAACAATGAGATGTCAGTATCAGTGCTATCAAGTGATGTAGTGTGAGTTGTCCCACTTGTTTTGTAAACACGAGTGATCGAAACCGAATTTATTTATCTTCATTTTTGGCGAAGTGACGATGCAAAAATGGCAATGGCAACCGTCTCAAATGATGCAGAACTGTTGCTCTTCACAAACTACGAGTCAACGTTACACAAATCGTTTGTAGATATGTTTCGAAAGGAAGAACTAACCGATGCAACATTGATCTGTGACAGCAAACGTGTGCGAATTCATAAGTTTCTATTGTCGGCATCGAGCTCATTTTTCAACAACGTATTCAAAAAGCATGGAGGCGATTGCAACATTTCCATCAAAAATGTTGCGTATGATGATTTGATAAAAGTGTTAGAATACATTTACAATGGTGAAGCGGCATTGCATCCAACTAAAGTGAATGCATTCATTGATGCCGCGAACAAATTTTCAGTCACGATCAGCGGTGATAAAATTCAAAAGGTATCAGCACATTTGGGATCAACACACAATGAAATCAAATTAGATACTTTGAAATGGAACGTTCAATGCGGTGAGAATTTGTTTTCACTCTACTCGCGATTTTTTTCTTCTATTGAGTTGATTATTTCTTATAGATAACGCTGTTGCTGCGATTGAAAGTGATTGCACTGATAGAAATGTCATAGGACTAGGTAAAGCAGAAACTATCCATATTGTAAGTAGTTTTCGATTGAATTTTGGATGTTTGATTGACAAAAACCACCGAAAGCATAACGAAATTCCGTTTTAGAATATGCATAAACTCGCAAATGAACGCGATCGAGCACAGAAAAAGACGAATAAAAGCGACAAATTTGGCATTGTCGTAGTGAGCCAAATGGAATTTCTTGAGGTATTTCAATTTCTATTTCGAAAGGCTAATGCAGAACTCTTTATTAAAAATTGAATCGATTTCATTCACAGCGGATGTTCAAGCTTCGAAATTTGCCATGGCCAATGGACTGTGATCAAACTACACAGAAAGTAGCACAACAATCTAACGTCAAAGCGCGAAGTTCGAAAGAAATCAGCGAAACATTCCGTCCTTCACCGGGCCCATCCACTTCGAAACCCAAATTAGTCGATACACCTCAATTGGCTGTTGAACATGATGCTGAATCCGTTACAGAAAACAAATCAGTCGATAGTGAAGTGCGGAATTCAGTGCACAAAATAAGAACGCAAATTAATACGTTGAAACGGGCAATTAGGAGAGGTAATAAAAGAGATGGAATCAAACCAGATGTTATCGTACAAAAGGAACAAAAACTCAATAAACTCAAACAGCAATTCGAAAATATGACAGCTACGCAAAGTGAAGAGAGCCCGGAATCGAAATCGAAACCAAAAAATCCCGACTGGAAGAAGACTAGAAAGGAGAAACGGATGATGAAAATAGCACAGGAAAATGGTGTAAATATGGCAACGAAAAGAATTCGCAGCAGAAAAAGGACAAATAACACATCAAAATCGAAGGAATGTGCACCGTCAAACTCAAAGAACAACGAATAGAAATAATCATATCAAATAATATCTAAATTGTTCCAAATCTATTTTTGTATGAAATAAATCTGAATTGTATCAACAATGATCTGTCTGTTAGAGTTGCTTTTCATTTTTTATGCCCAACAATGAAGGTCAAATTTTCATTTGAAATCGGGTATGATAAACTTTATTCTTTTATGACACACCAGTAATGCTACACGGCGTATGTTGTAGACGAAAGGAGAAAAAAGAAAAAAAAACGTTAATTTTCGTCTAGTTATAATTTTTATCGTTTATCTTGGCCAAGAATGCCAATTCTTCCGACGAGAAATAGATTTTTAAATCCGAAATTATCCGCCAAGTGTCATGGATTGTTGGATTCATTATGAAACAAAGCAGAAGAATGGTCAAAACCACAAAATTTTTACTTCTATATGGAAGTTCGGTTCTGTGGAAATATTTGCAATATTCATCACCTATCTTGATGAAAAATGCACGACTCCCGATGGTAAAATATATTTTTTTTCTTCAACTAATATCCATCGACCAAACATTTTCAAGAAATTCAATTTGCCCATATGCTCATACGCATAATATACATCGTTTTAAAGGTCTTAATGGCGCCAATAATGTTGTTTCAAATCTACACTTTTAGTTTTGTGCTCAATTTGCTGACGATGAAACACTCTAAAATTTTAATTTTTTCCACAATATGTTGATTGTCATCAATTCATACCGTGTTCTGTTGTTCAATTGGATTCACGTTTCAGTTCAACTTCCTTCGAAGAACATTGATATTTTATTCTTGTGAAATTTTTCATTTTGTATATTAAAACCTGGGAAAGAACTATTGGTATATTTACTTTATTGACACGTATTGACAAATATTCATAGGTATTTGCACTGCGTTCCGTAGTGTTATTGTTGTTGTTTTCTTCTGTTGCTTCGTCTCGTTCGTGCCACGAACCAGCAGGAATAACAGTTGCAAATACGCACATTTTATTGATCATATTTGCATGCATTCGCAGCTAGTTATTCAGCGTATTGACACGCATTGACGCGTATTGATCCAAACTCGGTAGAATATGTGATTATTTATAATATTTATAGTTTCATTCACTCAGTCAGTTCTTTCCCCCTAAATTAAAACCGGCTCTCTTCCAACTCTATCAAAACATTTTAGACTCTAAATAAAAAAGGAAAACGTATTCATGGTTTCTGGTATTTTATTCGTATAATTCGTACAATTCTTTTATGATGTTTACATCAAGGCCGTTATTAAAATCTAATCTTACAAAACTACGGACGGAATGACAGTATCAATATACTTCTTCGTTTGATTTGAATATAAATTTAAATTTTTTTTGTTCATTTATAACCTTAAGTCGCTTACATTAAGACTTGTATCAAATTTGAAAAGCGAAATGAATCGTCAAAATAAATTTTGCTAAGAAAAATGAAATCATTTCTAAAGAAAATTACAACAATTTATCATATTAAAATGAGAAAGAATTTAGATTCGTCTAAAAAAAAATCAAACATAAAAATTGGACGGTAAAAAAAGAATGAAAATTAAAATGCCTAAATAAAATTGGCTACATCAATTGGACGAAAAAGAAATGCTACGAAAAATGTGTATAAATCATGGCTCGTTCGTTTAGTGGACTTTAAACAAAATAAAAGTTTCCTTAAAATAGTGAACAAGTGTGGCTCTTATATCTGAATTTGTGTAGAATATATTAAAGCTCAAATTCATACATATAACAATTCCAATGTATACTTGAATATCTAAAAACGTTTATCAATGGCTTGATTTGTTTTAAATTTTTGTCTCTCTCTTAGGCTATGATATGTAATAGCCATAGCGAAAAACAATCACACCATTGCCGATAACCCGTTTTCCAGTTTCATTTTTGTAGACGAGACGAAAAAATACGGTGTAGTGAAAATATACTTTTCTTTCATAACCACATATTGCTCTAATCTGATACGACTTGATTCTTATATAGCTTATTTTTCATTATTTACTGTTCGCTTGACTTTGAACATGCTTCCATCTTCAGCGAGTGATAAATGTCGCAAACAGATTCGTGCGTATTTGTTTTTCTTCTTCTTCGGTTACATTCGAGTTAAATTGTACAGACGGAACAAATTACATTTATATTAAGAATACATTCAATTTGAGATTCGGTAAAAAAAAAAGCAATAACATTACAATGGTAAATCGGAACATTTAAACGGACGAGAAAAACAAATAAAAAATGTTTCGTTTTTTCTTTGTTTCATTACAAATGATTAAGATAAGCCAAATAAACGATTTCGTGTAAGAATTTTGGAATTGATTTTTAAATCAGTTAATCATACCATACTTGGTCTCTAGACTCACAGGTAATTGGCTGCTTTTTGATTCTATATATATAAACTATGTCCAAAAAATGGATAATTCGCTTTCTTTTTGTATAAAATTAGTGTCACAAATGGACAATGTTAATGTGCCTCATTCAGTTTTTTTTTTTGTGGAAATTGGCCGGATTGTTTGCTATTGAGCTACTCGGAATTTCAGTACTGAATCTTTTTAATCAAATAGAACAGAGTGAGCAGACCGAAAATTATAGTTTTATTCAGATGAAGATTTGTTGCCATGTTTCGTGAGTTTGTGTTGCCTGTGATGATTGATCATTCCGGAATTCGTATGTAGGGAGGAAAATGAAGGAAAAATAATTAAATTAGTACATGCGTTCGATTTGATTTATTAATTCTTGATCAATAATGAAATAATTTCGATCAATCGCATCCTTGTCATGCAAAAAACAATTTGTGACGAATGAGATTCGGATGTGATTCACCGTAAATGCGATTCTTACCCATTTGGAATTGAAGTGTTGGTGATGACATACGACCGTCACCACCGTTGCTGAACGCAAGCACTCTCATTTTGTATGCCTTTCCTGGTGTGAGTGTATCAACATAGGCTTCCAGTTGGTTTCCAATCAAAATGATTGTATCGTTGGCCGTTGACATATCTTGATCCGATTCCCAAACACGCACTTTGTAACCCTTGATCGGTTCTTCTTCCATGGTGACACCGACATAACGCCATACAACCCGCACCGTTGACGGATTGACACCGTACACATGCACTGACGACGGTGGTTTCTGTGGTGCTTTTCGGTATGTTCGTTCTGGAATACGCATTTGAAAGGTGGATTAGTCAAAAATTTCGATTTTAAAATCGCATTTCAATTGGAAATTAGAAAATGAACAATAGGAAAAGATGTGAAATGATCAAAATTGCATTTCCAAAAAGAACACTAAATCCATATTTTTTCTTTTGGAATTTTTCGCTTTCTTTTTTTCTCATTTTTTCTAAATGTTCAAATGATAATGAACAAAAACCTACCCAGATAACGTTCACTCTCGGGTCCTTCACCGGCCGCATTGTATGCCATAACTTTGACGAAGTAATGTGTATCTGGTTCCAAGCCGACAATCAATGCCCATGGACGTTTCGAACGTGACAAATAATAAACGGCATCCTCTTCCTTGTGCCCCTGTTTCCAGTACTTCATACGATGACCAATCAAATTGCCTCGGATCGCTTCGCGAGTTTGATTGATTGGATTCCATGTGACATTGAAGCATGTCGAATTGAAACCGACAGCAACTGGTTGTTGTGGTGCCACTTGTGGCATATCTTCGGCTGAATAAATGGTTTTGAAAGCACTTTCCGGCCCATAGCCAACATCATTGATGGCTTGAACTTTCACATCGTATTTGGTGTAGTACATATTTGGTGGGATTGGCACAATGGCACGACCGACATTTCCACGGTCTCTTAGCACATCGGTTGCCCATTCATTTTCGGTTCGATTGTTGATGGTTTCATGCAATCGCCAGAAGATTTTGTAATGAATTCCAGGTGCATTCTGTTCTTGCGGCAACAATGGTGTCCATGTGATTGTTAAATCGCCGATCTTTCCGCCACCACCACCGACATTATATGGCGATATGTATGGCTTGTCGTTGTGTGTGTTGTAAAGTGGCGATGGTGCACTTGGTGTACCAATTCCCAATTCATTTACGGCACAAACACTGAATTCATAGCCAGACCATGGTGTCAAGTTCTTTACTTCAGCTTGTTTTCGTCCATTGTAACGATCAATTTCATGGGCAAATACTCCTTCTGACACATTAACCCAGGTTTTGTTCCAGTTGGTACGACCCAATATGTTGTAGTAGGATATTTGCCGGCCATTGTCAGTTCCGTCAAGCCATTCCAATCGAGCGCGAGTTTTAAAGATATCAATCACTTTAACACCACCTGGTGCACCTGGTGGACCGAGCACAATTACATTTGACTTTGAAGCAATTTCATTCACCGATGATTTCGCAATACATTCGTATTCACCGGCGTCTAAAAGTGACAAATTAAAGATTTGCAAGGTGTTTTGCTCGATGATCTAAAGGTATGAGGTTGAAAAAAACAATTATCATTGGCATTCAAACAATTTCTTAGTTAACTATATGGAAAAACACATACAATTTGCTCCGTTTCAACAACAAGCTGCCCGTTATGTCTCCAGAGGAAGGCAACATCCAACACAGAATCATAGCTAACATCACAATGAAAGTAGAGATAGTCATGCACTTGAGCCACAATTTGCGGTTGAAGCAATTGAGTGAATCGAAGCTCCTCTGTAATTAAACAAGTCGAATTGATGTTTTTGGTCTGATGTTTGGTTTTAAGCTTAACCGAAATTTCTTTGCGTTCATCGAGCGCTGATTTGAGGGAAATATAATGCAAATTTTTTTTTTTTTAAAAACTCACCTAAAACGATCAATCTCGCCCTAGATTCATCCGTTCCGTACTCGTTCGATGCGACACAAGTATAAATGCCCTCATCGTCCCTCGATGTCGGTGATATAATCAGTGTACCGGTCGGTAGTATTCGCCTATGTCCTCCAGTGCCTACAATGCTGCCATCTTTTTTCCACTGGAATTTCGGCCTGGGCGCTGCCTCTGGATCGCATACTATAGTCGTGTTCCCATTGTATATTGCATAGATCTCCGATTCGAGTGGCCGCTTGTGGAATGACGGTTTCATCGACAGAACCCTCAGCTGTGCGGATGAATAAACGGTTTTCAGTTGATTCTTTGCCGCACACTGATACATCCCGTCGTCCTTCTCCGGATCCAGGAATTTAATCGTCAGCACATTGTCTTGTATCACATATTTATCACGATCCAATTTATCCCGTTCCATAAGCTCGGCATTTTTATACCACGTATAATTCACATCTGGTATGGCATTTGCTTCACAAATGAAACTCACCTCACTCTTAAAATCCTTGATTTTGTCGCGCAACGGAATGGTGAAATTCGGTTGCATTTGAATATTAAGTACGATTGACTTTTGAATGGCTTTGCGATCGTTGAATGTCGAGCAAATGTATTCGCCATTATCGTTGAGCGTTGCATTTGGAATGATTAATACACGATTGTAATTGATTTGATAGGCACGGCGTGGTAAACCACCGTCTTTACGAGTCCAATTGTATTTGGGAACCGGATAACCAAAGGCCATACATTCCAATCGAATCTCTTGGCCAGCTGTTGGCGATGCGGGAAACACTTTTGGGAATGAATTGGCAAAAATTAAATCTTGATAATTTGGATGTGGGTTCACACGAAGCGGGAAATATGGACCGTTTCGACCCGTTGAACTGACTAAACTTTGAACGGTACACGAATAATTTGCACGATCAATAATTTCCAAAGCGGAAAAATATAAGGCACCATCGTGACTCACGAAGACACGTTGATCTTCTTGCACGAAATTTGGGAAGAAATCACGCGACCAGTAATACTGAACGCCAGGGTAATCTAAATGGGAATAGAGAGAGAGAGAGAGAGAGAGAGACAGGAAAACAGTTTAAAATTGGGAAAATGAAAGGTTTTTTTAAAAATATTTTTCGCTAGAACAAAAATTCTAAGAAGAAACCAAAATTTTGAATAATATCATGAAGCAAGAATTTTTTTTTAGAAAGAAAAAAAAGTTCAGACAAAAGAAAACTCACGTTGTGGAGGATCACAGAACAGTGCATGACCCCAGTTAGATTTGCCCGCTTCACCGGACCGCTTCAAATTAAATTCCATAATGTAGCCAAAATTGAGCGCTACACTTTCGGAACGAATGCGACCAAATTTATTTTCGGCAATGCAATGATAAGTGCCTTGGTCTCTCGTTTGATCTGGATCGTAGATGATTAAATTGCCGCCGCTAATCGTGTAACGACTATCGGTCAATGGGTCGATTTTATGGAAGGTTAAATTGTCATTGACGTACTCTTCTTTGTACCAGCTGTAGATTGGTGTCGGATAACCCCATGCCAAACAGTTCAGCGTCACATCATTTCGAATCTTTCGTTTGCCCGTATCGAAGGTGGTTTCATTCGGTTGATTCACAAAGTATGGTCCACGTGGAATTTTCGCAAATTCCGTGGTAATTTCAATGCCATAATCAAAACCACGATGATCATCCTGTTTGATGTTGATATTATTTGGATTGTAGAGTTGATGCGATTCGCAAATGAAGAGATGTTGTTCGAATTCATAGACGGGAATGAAAAGCCATCGATCTTTGATGCGTGAATATCCGTACACCAATCGAGTCTTCTCCATGTTGTACAATGGATTTTGGTCTTTGCGAAGGATTGGATCGAAGCGATTGTAGTATCGATTTGTGTCTTGTAAATTCTCTTGCAATGTATCAATATCAAAATCGGTCTCTTCATAGGCAAAGCCATCGTCAACCGTTACCAAAGCCGATCCATCATCATTCGACCAACTGTTTGGTGCCACTTGCCGTGCCGACACATAGTAACGATTCTGCTTTTGGTCTTGAACAATCAAATGCTTCAAAATGAACGAATGTTTTTCCACATTGTCCACATTGACCAGATCACCACGATATGCTTGGCAAATTTTCTTCGCGTCATACCAATTGCGTTTCGGTGATTTGATGAAACGCAAACATGAGCTGCGGTATGCAATCCAAAATTCAGGACAAAAACTATTCTCATCGATGCCATCGAGTCCTGCATTTATGCCACCATATCCACCGACACCAAATGTTCCACCCATGCCATTAAAGTTATTCGTACCACCTGTGCCACCGAATGCATTGTAATTCGAGTCATAGGTATTACGACCTGGTGCCGTATTCAACGGGTTGGTTGGATCGTAAAATGGATTCGTATTGAGTCCGGTTATATCGTTCGATGTTCCATAGCCGAACGGTGAACGCGTTGCATATGGATCATAATTCGAATCACCGTAGCCACCATTGCCACCATAATTCCCATAATTACCAGTACCATATTGTGCTAATGGCTGACCGAGACGCTCTAATGTTGTGTCATTAGGAGCAGCACCACTAAACTGTGCCGTCGTCGTACATTTTGATGCTAATAGCAGTAGACAAATTCCAGCCAATAACATCGTATTAGTCATTGTTTTGTTATTGGAATTTCATTACCTCATTCGAACATTAATTTTGATTTTTCGGATGAAAATGCACACTGAAACAGAGAACAAAAAATGCAGAACGAAAGAAAAAAGAAAACTTTAGTTTCAACGACAAACATTTTGATGCATTTTGAGATTGACAATAAAAACAATTATAATACGCATGACTCTCAAGCGCACAATAATCAAAACAATAGGGATTCGGTTGTTTTGTTTGATGTGGATGGATTGCGTGCCGAATGTCAATAAATCCGATCGCTATCAAACACCCGAAAAATCAAAAATGCATTTAATTTCGGGAATTCACTCGTTTCCATCATCGATCCATTGAATTTGACCGTTTTTTTTTTAATTCGTTGGCATTAAATAATTGCACATTTGCTTTATAACCACGCCCAACCAACTTAACACATTTGTTCAGACTCTAATTCACCCAACACAACACACACTGAATGATTCACACTCATCCGCTGTTTTTTGTTTCTTCTTGTATATACACATTTAATCTTATCTTTTCTAAACTTACCATAAATGCAATTGCTTTTTATTTAACACACAGGATTTTAACGAAGATAAAAGAAAACCACCAACAAAACGCGATCCACTCTTATACTTAAAACAAAAAACAAATTAAAAAAATGAATGAAAAATTATAACAGAGCGTATGTCTGTGTATAACAAGGGGGAGAGAGAATTCAGTCGCGTACAATCAACACTCTATACTATTGTTACGTTCGCTGTCATAGACGACTGAATGTGAATTTGGTTTGGTGTGATTTGAATGTGAGTCACCGGTGGGCGCTGTCGTCGCCGTTTCTCTGTGTGTATTCACACAGCAACGGAACGCTATCATAACAAGTGTCATTCCCATTAACGATTCAACATGAAATATTCTGATTTGAAAAAAGCGAGAAAAAAAATGTTTTGGTTTTGTCGGAAAAAAAAAAAAATTGCAGCGAAAAAAATGCCTAATTCTTTTCATCATATTCATTCGCCATAACCACAGTAATCTTATAATCGTCCGTTTTCCGCTTGATAGCTGAGATTACCAAAGAATGAGATAAATGATTCATTATTCCCATAAACAGTCGTTAAATACATCCAGAATGATAAAAAGGAGATAAAGAAAGTCTCAAATAAACAACGAAAAAAACACGTTCAATTTGAAATTAAAAATTTCAATTTCCATTTTTATTCATTTTTTGTTTTCCCTTTGAATCGTTTGTTCAAAATCGTCGGTACAATTGTTGATGGCTGTTTCTACATTGGGTTTCTTTGTGTCATCGTCTTCGGCAAAGCCCGGTTCGTCCTTCTGTTGCGTAATTATCATTTTGGCTTCTCGGATTTTGGTCAAAAACAGCACTTCACGCCTGAGTTCACGATCGAACATTTCGATGAGTTTGGCCTTTTCAGCGATTTTATGCGACGCCAAAAAGTCGGAAATTTGCATCAAATGTACATCGCCGTTGCTATGGCAACTAATAACGAGTTTACCATTTGCATGTGAACGAATGTGTTCAACTTTTGAGCGTACGATTGAAATGGATGCAATCGGCTCATAATGATCGTACATAAAGTCCCACATATCAACCGTACCGTTTGAATGGCCGATAAAGAAGTTACTGCATCGATTGCGATTCCAAGCTCCGCAAGATAGATCATGGGCATACTCAATACTTTGATGAATTGGTGTTTCACGGTTTTCATCCGACCAAATTCGAATCGATTGATCGCCGACGCTGAGTGAATATTTATCCGCGAATGGATTTCTTTCAATGCTCAACACTGGTCCAGAGAATGATTTAGAAGCATAACTAAATCGGTCTGTGTACGTGAGGCCGCGTTTATTTCCATTGATAATCAGCCCATTGCTCATACCAACCAGAAAGCGCGTGGGCATCGAAAAGGTATAATCAAGTGTTGTACAGCCGGCCGTATTGTAATCGAGTTGAAAGAATTCATGAGGTTTATCCATTTTGCGGACGTCCCACCACATAACCTTTGTTGATTGATCATTTCGCGATTCGTATGTATGGAGGAAAATGGAGAAAAAATTGTCGAATTAGTACATGGATCCAATGGAATTGATTAATTCTTCAAAATGATCAATTGATTCATAATGAAAAGCAAATTGGATCAATTGCAACCATTGCGATAAACAGACGGCAATTTTTGGAATGATTACTATTTACCATCGCGTCATTGGCGCACGTGAAGAACTCCACATTGCCCTTTGACATTGTCCAACGCAATGCGTTGACGCTCTCGCGATGTGATGACTCATTTATCGATTGCATTTGTGGTGTGCCACCCGCACGTGAGTCATACAACGCAATGATGCCATCACTTTGACCCGTCGCAATGACCGCTTCATCTTTTTCATTGTACTCAACGGTTGCCAACGACGCCTGGCATTTTAGCTCTAAAATCGGTGCGAGATTTCGATTCAAATCCCAAATGTACGATGAAGTACCGCTTTTCGTTGTGTTCATTTGACCCCTTGACACGGCCGTATATGATACGACCATTTTATCGTGCGAACTTGTTGCAATCGATGAATGACTGGCGATTATATTATATTTTTCATGTTTTACTGGACATTCGAAATAGGCGATCGACTCAATTAGCGGCCTATACGAACGGCCAATCGTTGGATTTTCAGCGGTGAAATATTCTTCGAAAATGTTAACCGCATTATTTTGGGCAATTGCATGCTCTATTTTCAAACACATTTGCTTCAATTGACCTCGATATTCTTCGGTTTCTTTGGCCGACTTTCGATATGTGGTCTTTTCATCCTCATCGGCTATGTTGATTTCGTTTGGCCATCCGCCTTCGTGATGAAGCACACCGAAATTCTCCATTTGTGCATTGTCGGTAGCCACTTCATCTTCGGCCATTTGCGGAATATTCTGAATGCCAACAGTGACACTGTTTGCGCGTTTATATTGCTTTTTCAATTCTTCGTCCGGATCCAATTCGCACAATGTGAACGCCGAATCAGAGAAAATACACTGTCGCCCGAATTCACTTCGCCGTTTTGTGTACGTATACGTGTAGTGCGGTTGAATCATGACCACTGGAGCTTCTTCGGCAACTGGTTCAGAATTGGATTCAATCGGCGCTTGTTCAGAGTTGGCTTCAAGCGGCGCTTGTTCATGTGTAACTTGTGTTTGTTCGACATCTTGAGTCGTTGTTGTTTCACCAGTATCAGATGGTACTGGATCATTTGTATTATTTTCTGAAGGATTTTCGGAGTTTTCCATCTCGTCGGTTTTATTTTGAATGAAATGTTTGACTTTTTCTTTATCTTATTCCGATTTGAATATTTCTGTCAGGGAACCTGTTTGCTTTGTTTTTTTTTTTCAATGCTCTAAAATCAATCGGATCTGCGACTTAGGAAGAAATGCGAAATAATATTACCTTCGAAGTTTTTTTCAAAGGAGCAATAAAAAAAAGTCTTATTTTCCTCATGTTTTACCTTTGTTTTCGACAGATATCAAGACTACCGACGGTATTTAAATTAGCCAATAGTCAAAAACGATTTTCTCGCCTTGTTAACAGTATATGTATAATACAGTAAATAAAATCAAACATTTTTTTTTTCATAAAATTGGATTATTTCATTTGTATTTTGGTTCAATTTAGAATACAGAAGAACGTTCATTTTGTTTTGCAGTTTTAGACATATTTTAGCTTTTCAATAACTTAATTCGTTTTATCACAATATAAACTTCTTTTTTGCATGCAACGTACAACACAATGTCAAAATATGTTGGCACATATTCCAACTGTCCGATTCGGAAATTCGTGAAATAGGTAAATGTGTTCTGGAATTGGTTTGTTAATTCAAAATTGCATTTCTATAAATCTCGAATAATCATCATATGGAAAATGTCACCCGAATATTTGGTCATTGTGTCGCATTGCCATTTGGTTTGCCACAAAATATGATTCACTGAGAATAAAAGTAACTTATTAAATGTTCGCCAGTCTGACCGCAACTAAAAACAGTCGCCGAACATAGCGAAACATAGTTCTGTTACTCGATCAAGAAGGAACATGGGATTTTTATATACATTTATTCTGTGTGACGTTTTGTTCGAATAATTCTGTTACACAGAATAAATGTATATAAAAATCCCATGTTCCTTCTTGATCGAGTAACAGAACTATGTTTCGCTATGTTCGGCGACTGTTTTGTGTTGCGGTTAGACTGGCGAACATTTAATAAATTACTTTTATTCTCAGTGAATCATATGTCCTTTTTTCATTTACAAAAAAAAAAACAAGTCAATTTCATCAAGCATTTTACCCTCTACGTTTATCGGCTAGGAAAGATTTTTTTCGTTTCATGGACGTGGAAAAGAATATGTTGTGATAAAAAACGACGATTCCTTTTTGATAATCAATAAATGATTTTGGACCGTGTGTCATCGTTTGAATGTGTTTTTGTTGTTGTGGTTTTTTTATTCGTATAACAATACATTATGATTTGCTTTTTTTACAACTTGTACCTAAAAAAAGAATTGAAAAAAAAAACTAAACGAACAATATGAACCGAAAACGGAACAGATTTTTTTTTTGGAGGAAAAAGAAGATTAATAAAATATGCACATCATGCATTCCTATGCATCTTCAGTTAATATCATCATTGTTTGCCTCTTTTTCTTTCTGTTATTATTATATTTCATTCTTGTGTACGTATTTTGTTTTTGTATTGCCTAACATCTACAAAGTTGCACTTCAATCATTCTTCTTTTACTGTTGCCACTTAAATAAAATAGTAAAATTAATGACATTTTTTTTCCCTTAATTTTTATAAGCCAAATGATTAGCTCTTTCTTTCTATCTCCTCATTGCTAGTTTCATATTTCAATAATATTCTTTTTCAACTTTCTCTCCACTTTTGCCTCTTCGTTTCATATCAATTTTCTTCTTTTTTTTCTCACTAAAAGTGAAGCGAACAAATTTACTTTACAATCAGCGTCTCTTTCAGCCGTCGCACCATATGCGAACCGATATCCTTAACATCTGGCCATTGTCTAATCACAAATATTGCAATAAAAACGAAGAAAACGGTCGTCAAAACTCGCAATCTGCAACAAAATAAAATTAAAGTGGAATTAGCTTCGAGTTTATCCCAAAATGACAGATGGGTCACATCGTGTGCATATGGTAAACAACACTTACCTAGTCTTTAAAAATGGCATTATAATTCCGGCAGCAGTGGCCACCAGCAATAAAACTACTTGTAACACAGTCAATACTACATTTATTAGCTTAACAATAAGTGCACGAGCATTTGAATTGTCAATCCCTTCAACGGTCACATATTGCTGTTGCGATAAATGTTCCATTTTTGAAATCTGCAAAAAATATGATCGAAAGAGCAAGTTAGCATTGCAATGCAAGCATAAGAAAATCGTAGTCATTATTTGATTGGCCTTACTCTGGTTTGACAATTTTCCAACACTTCATTTACATCACGTAATCTCTCATCACTCTGGTACTGCACTTTTTCTTCCATATCTGCCAGCGCTTGCTTCAAATTTTCGATTTCATTCTGGAAAAAAAAGGAAAAAAAATTGAATTTGGATTTCATGAAGAAAAAACAAGCGACAACACTAAAAACACAAACTGTTTTTCTATTCAAAGTTGAATATATTTTTGGTTTTGATTTCAAAGCAACAAAAAGTCGATCTTTTTTTGCCCAAAAGAGTGGACAAGAGTCTTTCGAAAGTGCAACGTTCAAACCATCCAATTTCCGATTCACTACTCTTCGACATTTAACTAGGAACACGTTCAATTAGATGATTTTGAAAATATTGGCTATTTATCTTTTTCATTCACTTTAAACTTAAAACAAGGTTTATTTACCTGATGAAGTTCGGTTAAATCGTTCACTTGTTCCTCGAGTCGTTCGGCGCGATATCGTTCGCTTTCCAGTTCTCGTGAAACATCCTGGAATTCTTTTTGGACACTCTGTCGAAAGGCAACAATGCAAACGAAAACCAAATCCACATTATTATATTACACAACGATTTGGTTACGAAAAAAAAACAATGAAAATAAAACAAACCTGAAGTCTTTCGATGGCTTCTTTCATTTTGGCGCATTCCTCTTGTCTGTCCGTCATTTCGGTGAGAATGGCCTTTAGCAGGAAGGCATCTTGTTGATTTGTTGTTCCCGAATGACTTTTACCAGAGCTGAAAATCGAATGTAAAATCATGATGAGTTTCCGATGACAAAGTGTGTCAAAAACTTCACATTCTCAGTTCCAAATGAACGAAAATCAGAAGATGGATAGAGAGAGAATGATTCAGTTGGAGTGAAGTGAGTGAGTGAGTGAACGCGTGAGCGAATGTGTATGTACCAATTGAAATGTACTTACCCGCCTGGCATGCTATCACTAGTGACACTACTGCATTCGCTGTCGTTTTCATTGCTGAATTTTCCACTGCCGGTCCGCGTCGCAGTCACCGCGTGCGTTGTCCCCGCAATATTTGACGATCCAGTGTGTGGCGTTGTATGGTTGTTGCCCAGCGTCGACGAATGAAGGTGATGGTGCGATGAATTTTGCGCTTGATTATTGTGTGTACCGGTCAAATCCAGTGTATTCAAATCGGGATCTGTGTACCAGGCTTTTATTAAAATTGGACAATATTTTATTAAAACAAAACAATTCTCCGGGAAAAACACAAATCGCGAAACACAACCAAAAACAGTGTAGTTTTTTTTTTACATCTTCTTTGTTCAAATTTCATCCGCAGCCCAACAATAAAATAGTCAATTGAGATAGCTCAAAAATATTTGATGTGTGCAATTGAATGCCAAAAAGATAATGAAAACAATTTGTTCTTTATTTATCTGAGCCAAAATGCATAATGGTTGAATGTGTGTTACATTGGGAAAATGAAAATCGAAAACACAGAGCAAACATTTGGATTTTTTTTTCTTCTTCCCCCGGACGGAATTAAAGTGTGAAAATTAGCACGAGCTCTAGCCAGATACGAGATCAAAATCAAATTAGGTTCTACATTCAAGACATTTGATGATGAGACCAACTCACTAAATCAATCACTTAATTTAAACTGACAATTTTTGTTATTTAGTAACACTAAATGTGAATATATATGGTGTTTATGTGTGATTCGTTCAATGTTCATTTACCATTCAATAATATTGGCGAGCGAGATCGAGAGAAAAATGAGCGTGGAATCATGGAAATTGAACGAAATTCGTCATTTATTTCTATCAAAAACTGTTTTTTTTTGTATTTTATGTAATTTTCTGTTCGTCTTTTCTGTTCTGTTCGGTTTGCTTTTATTTGGTTGATTATAACGTGTGTGTTCACCGTGAGCTTTGTTATACTTCTTGCTTATTGATATTGATTCGTTTTCGAAGCGAAATGAAACGAAATGAATCAACGATATTGATTATTTTGGTTTCTGCAGAAATTAAACGGGTGCTGTTATTAATTACCAACTCTAGTTAAGGCTTTGTTAATCAAATTAACTGAAATACCCAACCACGACACTGATTATATATTCGGACTAATTTTTGTAGTGGAATGGAATAGAGTGGGGATGGTATGGATTTGAGAGGGAAGGTACTAGAAGAGGCGAAAAATTAAAAAAAAAATTAATGCAAAACAAAATACGAAATTTCGAATGTATTCGAATCGATTCTATTTTACACTGATATGCAGGAGGTCAATTTGTTAGGTGTAAGTGAATAGATGCTTTGGTGGTCTAACCTATGACCTTTTTAAGGGCTTTGTTTCCAATAACTATGAAGCAATTTCTACATTTCTAAAGCATTTGTTTTTATTATTATTGCTGTTGTTATCACTGTCTGCTGTGTGTCCACTTGCTGCTTGCACTGTACATGTTACAAAGTTCAAAGAGAACGCATTGCGTTCCAATTTCCTCGTGTGCACCGAAAACTACGATTCAAATTGTTACAACTACTGCGTGCTTTGATGGTGTGCAAAAGGGAGACGAACACACATACGGACGGAGCTAGAGAAATGGTTTTGAACCAATGCCAGCCAGTTTCAATCGCTTCGTGTGTGTGTGTGTGTGTGTGTATATATGTGTGGAATATCGTAAGCGTTCGTCGAAATCATATGTGATATGTGATAGAATGTATGTATGCGATATGCTCGTTCAAAAAAATAAATAACAAAAAAATATCGGATGGAGGACGGAATCGAAGTTCGAGTTCTTGGCTCTTCTTTTGAACGAAAAAATTTGATGTGAAATTAATCGATAAAAATTAATTTTTGTATACAAAATTACTTCAATTGAATTTTTCAATGCAAAATATTTGCGCGTCCAATTTTTTGATTTTCAAATTTAAAAATGGCATTTTTCTCATTCAAAATTGACGACATTCGCATCGATAAAGTTCTAAAGTTTTTTTTTTCCAGCTCAAAGGAAGGCAAAAAGAAAATGAAACGAAAAAATGCAGAAAATACTTGCAAAAACTATGCTATGATAAACGCGGTCTTAAAATAGAGCGATAAATAATCAATTGTAACATTTCACCCGATCTTAAAAAGTACTTGCACGGGTTAATTAATATTAACTGAAGGAAGCAATTATTTGTGTATCTCTCTCTCTGTATGACTGGATTCTGATAACAATGGCGACAATGTCGAGAAAAATGTGTCTCAAAAGCAATAAATTGGTTGTTTGTTCATGACCACGAGCTAACACTTGTAGAATTATTGATTAACGAAATGCGCGGCGCGGTGTCGTGAGAGAGACAGAGACCGAGAGTCAGTTGAATGAATGAGTAAATGGGGCTCTGAATCACATCGTGTCGAATGTCATTCACATCAACTTTTACTTTTCTTGCTCTTTCTGATTGTGACTTCCCTTTTCACACACACATGTTGCCCTTTTTCTCTCTTTCTCTGGTGTGCAACCATTTTAACCATGCGATGAGTGCAATACTTCACGTTCGATCAAACATCGCTTTTATCACCAAATCGTGTTCTTATCTTTCATATCAAAAATTAATAAGTACACATTTACGACTTCGGTAATCACACAATCAGTTTTGGTATTGAACCAAAAACGAAAAAAAAAACGAATGCTGGTTATGAAATGAAATCAATGTGTTATATCAACGTCATGCATTTTAGCTACGATTTTAAATAAATTACAACAAAAGAAAAATATGGATCAAATTATTTGAAAAAAAAAAGCCATTGAGTTGTTTTGCTTCTCTCTATTTGGAATGTATTCATCAAAGGCATGTGTTCGAATTGTTTTTTTTTTCTTTTCATTAAACATTTTTTTCTTCTCTGATGTGTGTTGTGGAATAGAATGTTAGAAATTCTATACGCTTCGAACAACTGGCTTTGATGAAAACATTGTGATTAGGTGTTTGTTGTTTGGTCTCTCCATTTGGCATTTGGACCCGTTTTCTACGGTCAAACACCAATGGCAGAGGCTTTGGCTAGTGCGGTTTTTAATTAAAATCAAAGCAGTTTCTACAACGTATGATTGCGGTTGGTTTGACATTTCCTTACTTGATGATAGTTGATTGATATTGTCCGCGCTGCCGAATTTATTCTTAATGAGATGGGCGAATTCACGTGGCTTTGACATCAGGCTACCGCCAAGTCCAGTGATACCGTCTCGAACATTGCCCCCGACATTTCTATCGATCGGAAAGTGATTATTCATTTTTGATCGGTTCAAATCCATTTGTTTCGGTTTTGTTTCGGGAACGTTTTTTTTTTTTTTCAATTTTCAAAACATTTGCAACACAACTTACTTCAAACCTTGACCCACATCTCGTAACACTTCGCGCGGTTGCCGATGTCCAATTTGACGTTGATTCTGTTGAATCTGAAGATCTTTCACTCGTTTACTGTACACCTCGAGCTTTTTCTGGAGTTGAGATATTGTGTGCGCACTTTTTTGGTTTTTCTTCTCAAAGACCGCTTTGATGCGATGCAATTGCTGCTTATCCGCTTCCGTATTGGCTGCTAATTTCAGGTACTCGTTCACATTTTCATCTCGAGCCGTTTGTTCTTTTCGTATTGATTCACGTGTGCATGCGATTTTCGTATTGAGACGATCCATTGCCTGGCCGCTATTCGATCGATGATGATGGTGATGATGTCGTCGCTCCATCGTCGATGTATTTCCCTCCAATTCATCAAGTACAAACGATTGATAACCCAGCTCCTCTGAAAATGAGATAAAGAGAAAATGCCTTCTTAAATTCTGACACAAAATCAAAAACATTCTCATTTGTCCAAAGATCAAATCAATGAAATGGCAATGAAAAATCGATTTCTAGCCAAAAAAATAACAGCTGATTCATTTGTTAAACCCGAAAACACGGACTTGAATCAAAAGTGCTAGATACCTGAGAGTCTTGAATCATCCATGGTATCGCTATGTTCGCTGCCGGTGGGAGCCACGTTGGCTACTGCGGTCGTTGCACTGTTCCCAGCAACGGTTGGCGATGTTATGCTCGCCTCATTTGTGATTAGCATTGTGTTTGCGTCCGCATCACGTTCCCACGTCCCCTTATCGTTCGTGCTACGATCTCGATCGCGACTCCTTCGATTTGTCGTTGATGGACTTTGATTACGAAACCTTAGCCCACTCCCTGATACGGAGTCATTGCTATCACGATCTTTTGACACTGTGAATAATAGTAAATATGACATTAGAAATCCATTTCACGCGAAATCCAAATACATGAGCATACATACGAAATCAACCAGAAAACAAAAATTTAAAAAAAAAACATCCGGTTTGACGGAAAGTGATTTTTGTAATTTGTGGGCACTTTTTGCAAAGCTTTCAGTCAACCGTTGGATATTTCCAATTTTTCTAGATTCTTTCCGAACAGACACACACACACACAGAAAAGAAATGCATTTTTTTTTTGTTCACAAGTCATGCACATGTGTCTAACTGGACAGCCACGTTTACGCGGTCAAATCCATGCAATTTATTTCGAATAACCTACAATCAAATCGAAATTCCCCAGTTTGCAGAATGTTATAATTTTCGAATATTGTACCGCACTGATTGCGAATTGAAAAGACGAAACAGAGGGAAATGAAATCAATTCAATATTCTAAGTTTGCAATCTGACCAAACCAATTTCCCCGAATAACTATTCGCTACAATTTTCAACGCAAACTGTCAAATGTTGTATTTTTTTCGGTTTCTTCAATGCGGATATTCATGCAAAATATGCAGTGATTATTATTCACAGAAAATGCAAGCAAAACAAAAATGTGTAATTATAGTGTATGGGGGCCAAAACGAAACTAACTTGATGATGCACAGATAATAAATATTTGATGCGATGCATAGGAAGTGAAGTGAATACAACGAAATGAAACCACTTTGGCAGAAAAAAAAGCGCACACCAAAGCAGCCACTACTCCCGAATAAGCATATTTTCCGTTGATGCAAATAGCAGTGCGAAAGAGAGTGGAGGAGAGCCAAAGAGTATGCTGTGCATATGAGTATGCTTGAAAAATTGTGGTGCTCAAGTCTCAATTAGTTTGAAAAATAGTCGCTTCATTAGATAAATGAAATGAAATGAAACCAACCCATATATCCACATGGCGAGTGTGCCAGAGAGTAAGTGAGTGAGTGAGATACAATCTATGAAATGTTAGACGCAACGCAAAATAAATTAACGAGATAATTTCGAAAAGTTCAAAGGTGAGATCAGATGATTATTTTGGTCGCAACTATCCAACTATAGCAGCGCGCAACATGTGCTTAAAATATTCATCGACAAAAAGCATGTACACTACGATGATGAACAGAAAAAAGGCAAACAGAACAGGCACACACACAGATACTCACTCAAAACAGAGCGAAATGAAAATTAACCAGAAAAATATGCTCAAACAACGGCAAAAAGGACAAATACCACAGGATTCATCAATTTAAAAACAGAACACAACGAACAAACAAAATGAACAAACACACGCTACAAACAAGAGTAACAACTAAAATATTGAATGGTAAAATAAAAAAAGCAAGTACTTTTTATAGGTGATTTTTGATTTGTTTCTAGGTGTTTGTTTGTTTTTTGTTTTGCAAAGGCGCAATCGGTCGCAGATGAAGCTTTATACGTGATCGAATAAGGTCGCTGTGTTGTCGTTCTTTTTTTTTGTGTTTACAAAAAGGCTACGGTGATGGTGGTGATGGTGGTGGCTATGGCTATGGCTGTGATGTATTTTAAATAGCAAAGAAACAAAGCAACAAATTCAAATGGTGCGACGATGGTGAGAGATGGAAGATTGGTGAGATCGGTCGCACTTCACGCAGTCAGAGTTCTTCTCGGGGGACGATTGAACACTTGGGCTCGTTTGCTTTGGTTATTCTATTTTACTTTTGGTACTTTTGCAATTCAAATATGGGATCCGTGCCGAAGAATTGCCGTTTTCTTTCGATTCAAGCTAATAACACTGTTTGTTACGATATGCGCGCGATGGGGATTAAGTGTTCGTGCTCGTTTAATAAATTGTTGTCGCTGCAAGGTGATTTTGTTTGTCGTGTCTCAAATGTTCCTTTCGATTTTCGTTTGTTTTTTCTTCTCCTCTTTTTTCAAATTCCAATCTACAGAGATGCAGAGAGCGCTTAAGACGGCCTCTCTCTCACTCGATGTGCACGAAATAAAATGCAAATAAATGTGGTTTTGCGTGCTGTATTTTATTGTCGCTCGTTTGGCTGGACTTTTACGGTAAATTTCGTGCTCTGTATGTATGTGTGTGTGTGTATTTGTGTTGGATTTGTACTATTTACTTTGGTCGGAGCGACAGGGAGACGGTGCACGGCTTGATGGTTTGCTACCGCCCAATAGATTCTGCGATGATGCTGAATGGACTTGCAATGTGTCCATCGTTTTGGTTTGCATTCAATTTCAATATCCTTGCATTCGAATTATTCACACCGGTTCGGTTGATTGAGCTCTCGATACGTTGTCGTGTTATCAGTCAGCAGCAGCGGCGCAGCAGAAGCAGGAGTAAAAACCCCACCGGAAATCTGTATCAAAGAGGAACGAGAACAAATAGACACATTGTTAGTTTGGAGTTTGTGCTTTTGTGGTTTTGTTATTGTGTTTGAGCTACTTAAAATTGAATAAAATTCTTAGTCATTCGAATGAATCACAGCACAAGTAGCACGCCTTCCACTTGTTCTTTTTGCTTGATTTAATCAACAACCACATTGTTTTTTCTTCTTCTTTTTTCTAAATCGAGAAAACATTTGTCACCATTCGATCGAATGATGAATTTGAAGGGAGAGAGAGAGAGAGAGAGAGAGAGAGAGAGAGAGAGAGAGAGAAAAGTACTGCGCTGAAATTCATCGCAACGATGAATTCACACCAAAATATCAATATCATTTTATTTTCGAATCAGAATTCCTTGAGGAGTTGTCATCGTACGCGTCATTTCCGATAAGTGCACTTTCATATCTCAATCAAACACAATCTCAATTGTAGAATCTCTATTTGTCTGTGGTCAGGCAGACAAGCGAACAGGCACTTTGCACGTGTGTAGTTGTGCATATATACGAATCATCCATATCGATCAGTATGTTCGGCACGATGGGCAATTGGTCTAGAATATCGAATACTGCATTGTTTTCGAATTTCTGCAACGCAATTGACGTTTTGTTATTGTTGTTCTTTTTATCGTCGTCGTTCGTTTTTGGTTTCAGCCGCGAGCGCTATTCATAATTGATATGTGTTTGCCCGCTGGCCTCAGCTTATGATAGCCAACGTGATTTGGCGCCATAAAATGCTACTTATTTTGTACAGTCTTACAAATGCCATTAATTATGAGTAATATGAAAACGATACGTTATATTTATATTTAGACTACGCGTTTGATAATTACACATCGATTTTATCGCAACTTTGGCGATGCGTTAAATAAGTGTGTGCGCACTTGTGTGTTGTCATTTTATTCGATCAGAATGAAATCGAAAAGCGATTCGAATGTAATCAGGACTTGCATCAAAATAACCTCCTGCAGTTTGGCGTCGCTCCCTCCACTTCCATATGTTTTCATTGGTGTTTGAACTTCGACAAGTAAACTTCTAAAAATGGACGTTAAATGCGAGTGGAGACGCCACAAAAATCACTTCAATATAGTCGATTATTGATCGAACTACTTTTATATATGTTTATTTAAATGCGTTGCCATTTTCGCTTTCTCGCTCTCGTTATTTTTCACTCTAGCTCGCTCTCTCGCTCTATCGTGTGCAGATAAAACAAATTTCCGGCCATTACATAAACCATTTTTAATCTTTGTATTTGATTTTATTAACAAATTCAAATGAAATAAATAATTTCGAATGGGCATGAATCGAAGAGCATTTGTATGCAGCAAAAGTGCTCCTCATTATATCAATATAAAACGGTCTTTGAATATTGTTGACAGCGGCAGAATGTGGATCGCACGAGAGTCACACACGGTTTTCGTGTGTTCCAACAAGCAATCAAATCGCTGGCGACAGATAGTGAAATCACATGTATGCGCTCGCTCGTTGACTGGGCTCATGCTCGGCCGAATCGAATACCATTCATAAAAATAACCGAATAACACACACGCCAAGTGTGCAACAGCGACGCGCAAGAGCCAGCACATGTATAGAGATATCAAATGTGTCATTATGATTTTGTGCCATGATCACGTTTAAATATCATGATTTACCTTTTTATTCGAATTTTTTTTTTCATTTCATTGGTTACTTCGAATTAACTGCACCAATCTTTATCAATTTAATAGCTTCAATTGGATTTGTCGTGAGCTTCGAGACATCGACAACACATTTAATGTCGCCAGCAAACACAATCGATTCCATGACAAATACAATAACAATCGAATAGTCGTCGCCAATCGAATTCCATCCAGTGTTATAGTTGCTTATTTTACATAATTTATGCAAACTTTGCTTTGAGATTTCGTAAGCAGTTGTGTGTTTATGTTTTTCTTTAGCCGCATATTATACAAAACCCCAGGCCCATAAGTATTGAGGCAAACCAAGCTTCGGTTTTGTCGGTGGTTTTTTTTCTCTCTCTCTTCTTAATTCTGTTTGCGACCCAGGAAATTGTCGAAATTTCAAATTAAAGCAGAAATGCGCCTTTGAGTGCGCGCTATTGTTTATTATTGGTGCTGATGTCAAAAATAAATCTTGATCTTGAAATGTTAGCAATTCGCACAAAACTACAACCAAAACAAAGGAAACTGTACCACGATGTGAATGAGAGCGAGCGAGCGAACGAAGGAGACAGCGCACGAGATAGAAGAGTGTAGAGTAAGGCTTTAAGGAAATAAACAATCTGTTTTGGGATCTAAATCGGGTAGTGTGTATTTATGCATTCGTGTTTACATGCGCCAAATGCCGAAATGAACTTTCAAATGAACATCCATTCGCTTACAAATACAATAATAATTAAAGCGTTTGCTTGTGAAAATGTGAATGTGGCGGCGATGAAGAGCGAGACACAAAATCACCGAAATAAAAGAAAAAAACAAAACAAATAATTGTCGTTAAGCTATTTTTGTTAGAATTGCAGTCGCCTGTAAGTGTAGTGAGCTGCCGACGATGCAGCACACAAACTTACATACAAATCTGGGACCGTGACACACGTGTGCTGCGAATGTGTCAGCATGTGATTAACCCTTTGACGACCTTTGGGACACATATGTCCCATTTTGTTTTTCGTCAATAATTTTCACATTTTTAAACCGATTTCGATAAAATTGGTTTCTATTGAAAGAGAATGAATGTAGCTACCAGAAAGTACCATAATATTGGATATTTATCATCACTGTGCTCAAATAGAACACTTCAAAGTCAAAAAATCTTGACTTTTTTTTCAAGTTGCGCCAAACCCTATATAATTTGAACGGTGCAACTTTTAAAGCTGAAAATTTGAAATGTTGTGCGGAATGTCCGTTACTTTCTAAAAATAATCGACTTTTCTCCAAAAAAATATTTTTTTAAATTTTTATTGCTTTTGGCGCGATGGGACATATGTGTCCCATTGGTCGGTAAAGGTAACTAATTACCACTGGTTTGCCTGTATTTTGACCATTATTCGCGAATTTTCAAAAACCAAAATTTACAAAAATATCATCAAATTCGTGATTAAATGGGCACAACAAAGCACAATTCAAACCATTTTCGGTTCCAAACAATTCTGAACATCTTAAAAACGAAAAAGATTTTACACGTAGTTCTTATGGGAGACATATTTTCTTCCATACAAAGGTAGTTACCGTTACCGACCAATGGGACACATATGTCCCATCATTTTTTTCATATTTTCAGTTGAAAAAATTAATTTTTGATAACACTTTTACTAAGGTTTTTGGGGTCGCTGAGCACGAATCTGCTATCAGAATTGCAAAATTCCAAGCCGTTCAGCTTTGGTCGTCAAAGGGTTAATGAAACTGATTTTTTTGCTCTTTGTTTTCGTGATTCCGTTTCTTGATATTTTTTCGGGTACGAATTTGAATTTGGGTTTTGGCGCGAGCACACGCCGCGTGAGCGCACGCTTGCATTTAAAGTATCGCGCGAAACGATGAAATTGAATCGAGTCATTTTGGTTGCCGGAAATAAAATTGACGGCATTTCGAGAGCGAGCGAACGAAAGAAAGAGAGAGAGAGAGTGTGGCATAGAGCAACTGAGTTAAACGAAAAGCATTAGCATTAGTATATTCTAGCATTGAATTATTAAAATCCAATGAACGCCCCACAATGTAAGTCATAAAATCAATATTTACAGAAAAGCTCACGAACTGCCGCTCGTTCTCATTCAGCGCGCGCCATTCAGCCTAGTTCAATAAAATGCATATACTCACAAACACACACAATACCAAAAGGCAAATTATTATAAAATTCTAATGAGCGATCGGACTGAGCTGGAGAAATATGTAGTTTTTTTAATAATTTTGTGACATGTTCACGCCTCTCTCTCTGTCTTGATGGCGTCAGTTGAAGGAAATCGAAAGTTGCAAACGCAAACTATTTAATCAATAAAAAAAACATTTGATATTGGGGACATCATGTTACGTACCATGGTCGTGTGATTAAGTAATGAGAAAAGAAAGGAAAAGGGCGCGGTGCATGGCACCAAATTGACGGAAAGACGAAGAACGGACAAAATCCATCTCGTTTCAAGAACACGTATTCTGACTTGCATTGTGCGAAGCAAGGAAATCATCTTGAAAATTATGATTGCTGGTGCTAAAAGAACCATTTCAACGACAATGTCGATTCATTGTGTGCCGCTAGTGAAGCAGAAAAATCAAATCTATTAACTATTTAATGGCCTTAAACAGTTTTTGTTTTTAGGCATGGAATGTATTCGGTTGTAAATGGGAAGATGTGCGCACAGCCGTACACAGAAACAACGGAAAGTATGGAGACAAAATGCAATTAAGCGGTTTAATGGATGGAACAAAAACCAAAAAAATATACGTTGTAAAGTGGGTAATAATTTAGCTTAGTAGCACCAACGCATACTCAAAGAATGTGCATACATGTGACCCATCCATAAAAATAAATAAAATAAACGAGAAATTGTAAAAATATCACACAAAAAAACACACAAACAATGAATAAACAAAAGAGTGCCCTTTGTACAACTAATGTTTATTAGAACGATCAGAAAAAATGACTAATTTTATGCTTTTAAAATTCAGTGGCTCACGTTCAGTTGTCAATGTTTGCTGTTGTTTATTGTTGTTGCTTTTCTGCTTCTTCATCGCGCATTAGTATAATTTGCAATTTTCTTGTTAAAAACGAATGTCAAGAATAAAAAATTGAATTATCCATCTATTGTCGTCGACAGCCGTATATGACACGAAACGATGGCACACACGAACACAACAATTTCATTTTATTAGAATGAGTTCTGCTTTTTTTGGCATTAACAATTGTAAGTGCGATTGAAGAGTGTGAATGGATTTTTGCTTTTATGAGTTTGAATTTGTGACAAAGTAATCTTTTGTTCAACCAAAAAGAAACAC